TTGGCTCGACATTAAAGTTAAATCAGAATCGTTTTTCATTAAATTGAGTTAGTCGAGTAAATGTTATAAATTGCCTAAGTATTTTATGTGACTTATATGATTTGATAAGTTATAAGGATTAAGTAGAAGTTATTTAGACAAGAAGGTCTATTTATATATATTCAAAATTATATTCGCAAGTTTAGAGTTTTTCGATGTTCGGTTGTAGACGATAATTAAATCCGATTTCGTTTCTGAAAAATTTATTTTCTTGTATCTTTTTACAAGTTTCAAGATCATTAATAAGAGTTAAAAATTTTCAGCATAAAAAGGAAAAAGGCTAAAAGCAAAAGATGGAAATCTAAAATTTTCAGAATTTTCGATTTTTCGGTAACCGTTCGTTTTAAGTCAGAATTCGGTTCTGTAAATTGGAGATTTTTCATTAACTCACGAATTTTATCATGGAAACTAGATTAAGATCACAAGATGGCCCTTTCTAAGCATTGACTATATATTTGAGAAGTTTACAAGTTATGATTTTTATTCTTTATCTTTATTTATTTTATAAAATTTTTTTAAGTAATAAATGGGCCATTTCATATTAAATTCGAGCCATAATGAAGTTATGGTCCAATGGAGGAGTTTTGTCTTGATATATGCAAGAGAAATCATGCCTTTCAAGTAATTATCAAAGCTTACTCACAATTGTGCAAGATTTTAGAAAACATTAATGGTAAGGGCCCTAAGGTGTTGTTTATGGTAGAGTATTGAGGTAAAGAAGGTGATGTTGTCTCCTTTGCTACCCTATATAAAGGAGCATAAGCATAGGCTCGAAATTCACATCATAATAAGCAAAGTCTTAGCTAAAGAGGGTAAGAAAGAGAGATAAATTGAGAGAAATCTTGACGAAGATAAGTTGAGATCAACTTCCGAAGTTTCATTTTCAAATTTCTTGAAGAAGGTTAGATGCTACCTTTTTATCATATGTTATAGTTTATATTAAGTGAATATTGATGTATTTTCATGCCATATATATATATATTCAATTTTTAAGGAAATTTTAAAAATGAAAAAAAAAAATATGATAAGTTGTTTCCAGCACAATCACATGTTATATATGTAATGTTTTGATTTGAATTTGAGCATGATATGCATAACCTGGTATATTAAGCTTATTATGGATATTTCTTGTGTAAGTGTTGAGTATATAGGTGAAAGAATTAGGTCATTTGGCATAGTATAGCTGGAGTTATAAATTTTTGAAGTTAAGCATGCAGGTTGAATTTTATGTTCTTTATTTCAGCTGTGACTTTAAAATTTTAATAACTCGATATATACGCATGATAAAATTATGAAATTTTTACGACATGCTTATATATGGGTTAAGAACATGACTGCCAAATTTCATGATTTTATGTTGAGAAATGAGCGAGTTAAAATATTTATATGGCATACATGTCAAGATGATTTTATATGCAAGAGTATTTAGTACATGGTTAAGTTTTAAAATGGAATTTTTAGAAAAAAAATTTTATATGAGTAATGAGCAATTTGACCAAGTTTTAGTTTAATATGTTGAGTATACAATTTTATAAAGATTGTTGTAAATCTCACATATTAATATTATGATGAAAAGTTTAGTATGATTTGAGTTATTTTTCACTTTCGAGATAATCAAGCGAAAAATGAGTACAAGCCATATGTATAAGATTTGGGAGAAGTAAGTATTTGATTGAGTAAAAGATCAAGAAAAGTTTGAACCATAACAAGAATATTGAGATTTTATAAGATTTGGATGATTTATCCGAAAGAGTCGAAAATCCGAGTATACGAGCATAGTACTTAGTATATTTGTTTACGTATTTTTATGTAGCTTGAAGAGTTAGCTACTCGAGACCAACACTTACGATTTCAAAGGAGAAAGGTGGGGACCCAGACTGGGTATTACATTGAGTATAATATTGATATCATGTTCGAGGTATGTATACAGTTTAAGTTTATACGCTTGGGATGAGGAGGCATTAATTTGTCTCGAAGATTATATCCTAAGTTCTGATGGAGGCGATACGTGCCTTAGAAATATCCATCAGATTGTGCACAAGTATCCGATAATATATCGGCCAGATTAAGTTACAGTTAATATATATATACCAAAGATCATGATATTGTATTATTATTGATGTTTACTTTAGTATGGGTATTAACGGGGTACAAAAGGACCAGTACTCACCCCCATTATGTTTTTCAGGTAACAGGGTCGGGCCGGAGGTGTGAGCAAATAAAGTGGTGGTGATGGTCGAGTACTCATTTCAAAGGACATTTGTAATAAATGAAATAAGTCTGTATAATTATTCACGTTTTTAAGTAATTCCGCTACGCTTATTAATATGTGAACTTGCATTTTAAATAAATTCAGATTTCAAGTTTTTATCATTTTATAAATATGAACATGATATAGTTAAATGCAAGTATATATATAAATCTGTTTTGTTATGTCTAAAATAAATAATTAGACAAAGTTAAAGTTAAACAGATTTTTAGGAAGAAGGAGTTTAAGTAGCATCCCGAGTTATTCGCAAAAAGATTTCGAAAGAGTTATAAGTAATTTCGAAATAAAAGTTGCGAAAAATTTACTCTGATAAGCGGGGTGTTACAGCGGCGATGATGGCGGAGGGAATGGCGGATCTGGAGGAAGACGGCGGCAGATATGGAGGACTGAAGGTGAGCATCGATTGAAATCTTTGTACAGAGTGTGTGTACGTGACTTTGTGTGAGAGAGAGAGAGTATGAGAGAGAAAGAGATTGGTGAGGTGAGTGGGTTTGACCACGTGGGTGTGGGAGAGTTGGTGTTTGTGGACCCCACTATTTGTATGTGAAAATTACTATATTACCCTTAATGAAGGTGTAATTTTTATTTTTTTTATCCATTAGATCATCCGATCTAATGGTTGGAGTTTATTCTTATTTCTTTCACTGAGCACCATTCTCATGTGAGCGTGACCCTATATATATATATATATATATATATTCAGATATGTATATATGTATTAAATTTAAATGTATTAATGCTTATATATATATATTATCTGAATTTTAAATTTTCGCCACGTCGAACCGAGCCTCGTATAATTTTTAGTCGAGCCCGAGAAAACCAGCCGATTTTGATTATTTTTTTGTAGCCATTTTGGGATCATTTTTCTCTAGCCATTTGATAAATATTGTTTGGCCCATTTTGGAGGTTAAATAAAAGGACTATGCTAAATTTAAATCTGGCAAGCCCAAAACAGATATTAAACAAAGTTCCGCTCCTTCTCTTTTATCTGCCAAGACTGAGTCCAAGAGATAAAATTTATCTGCTCGCTCGTTCGAATTGGCAGACTGAGTCTCAAGGAGATTTTACCTCCAACGGACGCACATCACTCTCCTCTCTCGGCTATTTACATTCAGGATTTCTTCAGCCTTCAAAATCATATCATGCAGCATCATTTTTTCACGCCCCTCAGCATTTATCTCTCTCTCGAACAGAGAAGAGAAAATAAAATTCTTCCCGTCGCCATAACCTCTCATCATCATCCTCACGCCATCAACGCCCTCAGCCCTTGTTTTCTCCCTCACCTCAGACCATCATCACCATCATCATCTCCGTCCACCATCATCCTACTTACCTTGCCGCTGCAAATATCGGCGAGCTCTCGACGTGCGCGACCAAACCAGTAGCCCCGACCACCGCCGCGCACCTCCCCCTCGACACCATCTCCGGCGAGCCCTTCTTCGCGATCGCCATCCTCCACGATGCCATTTCCAACGTGAACCAGCGAGCTCGATCTCCAGCCGCGCATCTCCTCCTGTCACCGTTTTCCAGTGAGTTGACCCATTCGCCGGCGCACCCTGTTCTGTTCAGACCAGTCACCGGCCATTTTCGAGGTCAGCCCCGCTCTCTGGTTTCGAGCAGCCCCTCGGTTCCTTTTTCCGAGTTTCGTTCGCGAGCATCCCGGGCCCTTCGCCGAAGATCCGTTCGAGTTTTTTCGAGTTCCGTTCGTTCGACCCGTCTCTTCAATTTTTCGAAG